ATAATTCTTATCTTCTGTTAACCTCCATACATAGTTCAATTATTTTCCATAATTGTTTCTCTTTGTTCAACCTAGTATAAAAGCATTTTGCCTTTGCTACTACTTCTTGGGGCCTTCATTTGCTTACAAGGGCTCCTATGTCACATAAAACTTACATTAAATACATTTGTATGCTTTTCTCCTGTCAAGGTCTTATGCCAGATTAACTCTCAGACTCCACCAAAGACCCTAAGAAGGTAGAGGTAAATCTTTGCCTTCCCCATAGTTAATTCAGTAGTGCAGTGGCATCATATATTTGCTACTAATAAGCAAATGCTGAAATGGATGTAGGGAAGGGAGAAACCAATGAAAAAAGGCAGGTAAAGGAAGATCGGTGTGAAAAATTAGATAAAACATACCCAAATAAGACCACACCAGAGCATAACAGTCTTTCATAATTTCAATTCTACTGGGCATAAATTTGCCATTTGCTCCTTAAATTTTGCAGACTCAACATTTTACATTAATGTATAATTGCCTATAAAGAGTATTGATGATTAGTTGGAAACATGGCTATAAACAAAGTTATCAGACACCTAGAAAGTTAAGACCTGATTTTTCTCAACCCTAAGACAAAAATTAGAATGGAGCTTTGGTTATCTCATATTCAAAAGTAAAAAGGATCTAGAAGGAGGCAGTGTGAATTTGACATTGGGTACAATTTCCCATATGTGAACTTGGACATAAGGACTCTCTGTCTTATTAGTGTACTCTCCATCTTACTGTCAGACCAAGCAGAGGGAGGAGTTATCACTATTCTTTGTACTTATTCTACAAACCAGAAAAAGATTCTTTAAAGAAGTAAAAGGAAAGACAGGTGGTATCTTGTCTGAAGACGTTTTGTATATCACAGTTGTAAACATTTAAATAATTCATTCTTTCTATTTGAAAAGACCATCCTCTTTTTAAATGTATTTTTCTGTGTCTTTTCTCTCCTACTTTTGCATAGGTAAAATGTCAAGATCTACCCAAGAAAACCAAGAAAAAATAACTCTCCTAGTAAATCTATGTCATGATATTTGACTAGAAACGTCACTACATATGATAATTCAGGTGAACAGGAAGTTTACTGTTATCAGAAGTTCTTAGCCATCAGGTATATGAGCTGCTGGGGTATTTTTAGAGAAAAACAAAGTATCATACAGTAGTCTAAAAGAACTAAATTGTAGGAATTGAGTCAAAGAATTCTCTAGACTATAACAATTGATGTGAACTGATATATTAATCCCTAAAGCTTGGCAGAGAGACCCAATTTAGTCTCTTGTTTCATTGCACTTCCTAAAACAGCTATTAATTTATTGTAGCTGTAACTGACTGTAATTTATTCATTTCCTTTTGTGAATATTTGTTCAATGTCTCCCTTTTGTGAATTCAATGTCTATCTAACTCTACTAGACTTTACACTTTAGGAGAGTAGGGACAAGAATTTTTCTCTGCCATAAACACTCATTAAATGTTTGGTAAATAAATGAATAAATGATTAAACAACACATTGTTAGAACTCAGATGACTTCCTGAACTCTCACCATAGTGAGTGTCATTTAGCAAAAGAAATGTAAAAGGCAAGTGACTGACCTCTATCTTCTTCTCCCTAACTTAAATGAACAAAATTGAAGACTTTTAAAAGAATAAGTTATGACAATTTTCTTGGTTTTTTTTTGCATCGGCAGCCACTTCACTTCATACACCATTCAAAAGCACAGTGCATTTGTACTGTGTTATTTGGAAAAGGAAAGAGCCATTGATAGCATAGGCTGGATCCTAATCCCACAGAGGCAAGATGGCTCCCCCCATAGTTAAACAGCTCTTTGGTTAAGGAGCTTTCCTACAAATGTGCTATAACTTTTACACAGTGTGTTTCAATTTATAAAATACTTTCACATAATCTCTTTTAGTCTACACATGGACAAAGAAAATATTATACTACCTATTTCTAATTAGCCATTACAAATATATAAACTAAAGCAGAGAAAAGTTAATGATTTGCCCAAAATTGCAAAGTTATTAAGAGACAGAACCTTAATTCAAACTCAGCAATTCTAACTTCAGTTAACCTTCTAACTTTTCCATGATGTTGCCTGAACTATGTGCTGGTTTATTTGGATTTCATACTTCTTTAACATCTATGTATCTTGTTTCAACTTTATAGTAATAACCTGTTAGAAGAAAACTCTAGATAAATTAAATTTAGCAGTTTGAGCGAAGAAATGATTCATAAATCAGTCAGCACCCAGAACCAATAAAGGTTCAAAGAGCTCCACCCAGCAACCTGGGCAGGCAGTAATTATAGGCAGAAAAAGGAAATTACATACAGAAATAGCCTGATTCTTAGATATTTCCTTCCAGATGAACTTTTACTTGCAACCAAAAGTCACAGTTCAAGATTATATTAGGTTATTAAGTACGGAATGTCCAATTTCCTTAAGTACTAAGTTCGACAGTTGATATCTTTGACATTTCACTTTAACACTTCTTGTTTTATTTTTATTGTCAAGGTACATCCCCACTCTTTCAAACGGACATTTTGGCTTGTGATTATCTTTCAAATTTTTTTTAGAGCAATTTTTGTGAAACCGTGGATAGATAAGTCAAGAATTTGTGTTATTTTTGAATATGGGTTCCATCATGGAACCAATGCAGCACAGACAGCTCAAAATATCAACAAAGTGTTTGGGAAGGAAGTGGCTAATGAACACACAGTGTGCCCATGGTTTGAGAAGCTCCATTCTGGTGGTTTTAATCTTGAAAATGAGTCATATTAGTGGCCTGAAACCAAGGTGGATAATGATGAGCTGAAATGATGAGCTGTAGTGGAAGCGAATCCATCTCAACCTATGCGTGAATTAACAAACAAGGTTTGACATTACTATTCCAACAGTATTGGACCATTTGAAACAAATCAGCAAGGTAAAGAAGCTGGATAGATGGGTACCACATGAATTAAATGAGCATCAGAAGAGAAATCATCTCAAAGCTTGCCTTTCTTTGTTATCAGGACATAAAGGTGAACCATTTCTACACTGTATTCATTACTATGTGTAATGAAAAATAGATTCTCTTTGACAATCACATACATTCAGCACAATGGTTGGATAAAGATGAAGTGCTGAAACACAGTCCAAAAGTGAATATTCATCAGAAAAAGCTAATGGTGTCTGTTTGGTGGTCCAGTGCTGGTATTATCCACTACGGCTTCATGAAACCTGGTCAATCGATTACAGCAGATGTCTACTGCAACCAATTGGATGAAATGATGAGGATGCTTGTGATTACGTAGCTGAGATTGGTTCACAGAGACAGGCCAATCATCTTGCAAAACCACATTTCACAAAAAACAACACTGCTCAAACTACCGAAGCTGGATTTGGAAACTCTTTGTCATCCACCATATTCACCAGACCTTGCACCAACTGACTGCCACTTCTTCCAAGCTTTGGACCACTTCTTGCAAGGAAAAATATTCAATTCTCAATAAGATGTGTAAAACTCATTTTACAATTTCGTCGTCATTTGCTCTCCATACTTCTTCGCTGCTGGCATAAGCAAGCTACCATTAAGATGGCAAACCTGTGTTGATAGTTTAGGCACATACTTTGATTAATTGTACTGCTTCTTGTTTGGAATATAAACTAAACTTTTGATTCAAAATTGGACATTTCATATTTAATGACCAAATATGTTTTAATGAGTGCCTTGGCCTGTGGTATTCTCTGCTGCCTTCCAAATCCACAGCTTTGAAAATCATACTAGCAGATTGTACCGGTTGCCTATCACCACAAATGTTTTAGCTGGACTATGAATGTTGAAAAGAAAAATCAAGGCTCATGAAAATATGTGCTGAATTGGGTGGGATGCACTTTAAAGGGAAACCAATGAGAAATATTGCTTTCCCGTAAAGCTAGAATAGTAGCTACTCTTTCTCTCAAGACTGTCATTACATGGGAAAAAAGTTAATGTTCATAAACTCCTTAAGAAACTTAAAACCTGAAAAAGGGAACTACATATCATGTCAATTAAAGTAAGATAATTAACACTAGGATCAAAATTGGGAATCCATGTAAAAGATTCAACAAAGATCATTTAAACCTTACGTATTATTTTTAAAAACTCTTTAAGCAGAAATAGAAAATCTCTTAGTCCATCATATTTCAATAGAATTCTCTGAACTGAAGAAATCTATTAGCAGCTGACAGAGTTGCCTGATTGGTGCAAATATAAAAGTTTGCATTGGGATTAATTTTATTCTCAGCTTGACATCAACAGTATCATTAAAAATACTCACTCACAAACAAAGCTTAACTTATTTGTCCGTCTTATCAGGCCTGGTAAAACAAACAAACAAACAAACAAACAAACAAAAAAACGGGCTAAAATGCATTCTAACAACAAGCAAGAGTGCAGCAATGCCTGCAAATAAGATGGGCCAGAGAAGCTCATCGCATTTCTGTAAAGCACTTGTGATTTTTCTGCGCCACCTTGTGGCCATACCGCAACCATCACACGGGAAAGTCAAGCGCTTTCCCCGGCCTGGTCAAGTCTCCCAGCCAGCCGCACTGCGGGATCGGCCCCTGCACAAACGTGAGGCAAACGGTGCCAGCGGTGGGAAACAGACTTGCCCTTCTTCCTACTTCCTCCTCCATTTCCTTTATTCCATATCCTCGGGTCCGCCCACCCACCGTCCTCTGAGAGCCTTTTCCCTAGTTGACTTCCTTTTCCAGCTCCACCATTCGGTCGCGCCCCTTTCCCCCGCTGGGTCCTCCGGGGTCGACTCGCAGCCCTCCCTGGAGGCCCCGCCCGCGCCCGCCGTCCGCCTCCCGCAATCCCTGCCGCAAGGACCGCCCCCTCCCGCCGGCAGCCAATGGCGGCGCGGCTCCGCCCCGCCCTTCCTGCCGCGTCCCGGAGCTCTGGCGGGCTTGGGGCCTCGGCCGGGTCCTGAGCCCGTGGATCTTCCGGGCGGCTGAGGCGAACGCAGCCCCGGATCCCAGCGGGCCGGCCTCGGGAGAACCATGGACTCGGAGGTGCTGAAGGTGAGCCGGCAAGCGGGCGGGCGGGGGCCGGACGGGGTTGCTTTGGCGATGGGCTGGGGGCGTGGAGAGCTCGGGTGGACTTCGCGAGGCTGTCGTCCCCCTGCTGGGCCTTCGCTGGCCTGGTTCCTGGGGGTCGCCAGCCGACTGGGATGACCGGTTGCCCACCCCACCTGGTCGGCCTCCGCGGGCCCTGCTTCGGAATCTGGAGGTCTGGGCCAGCCCCGGCGCGCTGCTTTCTGAACTGTCGTTAATGTGCTTGTCCCCACCCTGGCTGGTGTGTTTATTTTGCGTTTGCATCATGTTTGTTAGGAAAGCTTGGGTAACATACGACACTGCGCCTCCAGGTGCGATATTTAGGGACTTACATCAAACTACTAATAGTGTCAGCTCCGCCGTTGGACAGTAAAAGGAGCTCTGGAAGACTATACGAAACCAATTAAAGACGTGAGACTTCAAAATCGGGGAGTCTTTATTTTAGGGTGATGGTCTTCTCTATCTATCACTGATGCATCCATTCAGCAAATATTAATGGCGGGCCACTTAAGAAACGATGGTATAAAAGAATTAAAGACATGAGGATTGAAAATAAACGTTTTATTTTCAGATGATGGTCTTCTCTATTCCCTCCTTCGGCAAGTATTTATGAAAGGCTTACTATATGTCCACGAGAAGCTGGAGATGTCAGTGAGCAAAACCGAACAGTCACTGCCTTCACAGATTTCACTGTCTGATGCTGGAGAAAAACCTTAATTCAATTCATTCAGCAAATAGTTACTGAATGCTTCTATGTGTCTAGCACTATTCCAACCACAGAAGATACTGCAAAAATAAAACTAAGAAAGACCCTTGCAATCTTGTAGCTTACATTTGAGTAGGAGGAGTCAGACAATAAGTAGGTCAATAAAATGTACCTTGTGAGCTGATAAGTGGATGGAGGACAATTTGGCAGCGCAGGAGGTTAGGGAGTGCTAGAGTGTCTTTTGCTTTTTTGCCTGAATTTTTACCTTATCCTCTGTCAAGCTATGCCCCCATCTCCTTCAAGTTTTTCATCCCCTAAAATATACCCTTGCACTGCCACCCAAATGAAATCTTTAATACAAACACTTTCCTGCTAAAAAAGTGGTTCCTCATCACTTAGACTTGAGCATCAAGCCCAAGTCCTTAAGATGAGTCCTTCACCCTCCCTTCCTCTCCAACTTCACCCTCAGATACTCCTTGTCTTGCTTAAGCCTCGGGAGCAGGAAATGGCAAACTTTTACTACAAAGCACCAGATAGTACATATTTTAGGCTTTGTGAGCCATATGGTCTCTGTCACATCTACTTGGCTGTTGTATTTTAAAAGTACAGCCATAGACAGTACTTAAATGAATGAGCATGGTTGTGTTCCAGTAAAACTTTATGAACACTGAAATTTGACTTTCACATAATTTTCACATTATGAAATATATTTTTCTTTTTTTTCCAATTGCTTGAAAATGTAAAAACCATTCTTAGATCACTGGCCATAAAAAAATAGGCAGCAAGCCAGATATGGCCCTCAGACTGTACTTTGCCAACCCCCTCTCCAGAATATGGAGTGGCTTTTAGTGATTTCCATCACCACTCCCATCCCAAGGGACCACTGATGATTTTTTTTTTTTTTTTAATTTGTGTTGTCACAGTTCCTTTGCCTGGCTTGCTCCTCTGCCTGACACCATGAAAGGCAAATAGGAAAAGCCTGCATGTGTGTGGACGGAGAGTGAGGGGTTTGCAATTTAGGAGTCAGCTCTGAAATCCTCCGCAATAATCTTTCCTTAATTTTACTCTTCTATCCTCCCCGCACCCCACCCCACCCACCAAAGCTGTCTAAATGTTGCTATCCTACCTTCCCAAAGCAATTTATAAACTCTTTTCTTGCGTTTGCTACATTGTATTTCAGTTGGTCTTTAGATTATAGTCTCATCTGTAAAACGTAAGCTTTTCTGAGGCAGAAAGCATGTCTTATTAACCTTTTTATTCACAGTAGCCCGGTGCCTGGCACTAGTAGGTGCTCAGTAAATGTCTGTTGGACTAAACAGCCTAACATGAACCAAAGCAGTGGCAATGGGTATGTTTAGTGGGAACTAGACTAGAGAAATAGAAGGAACTACACTGACAGGTTAGACTTAGGGAGAAAGGAAAATGTCATGATGCAGTTTCTGGCTTGCGTGGCAGGTCGCAAATGGAAATACGAATCTGGAGCTTAGATGAGAGGTCTTGGTTGGACACATTGTTTTTTACTCCATCAACATATGAGGCTCAGAGGAACTTTTTTCCTTTCAGAACAGGACTTTTATACTATATCTTAATTAATCCTCACAACCTGTAAATTATTAACAGCATTTTACAAATGAGCAGACTGAGGTTTTGAAGATGGACCAGAGATACGAAGCCAAATCTTTTCGCTTTTAAATCCATGTCCTTTTTATGATACCATGACACTGCCCTTGGGAGGATTATAGGTGCTAAGTGATACTAAATGCTAGGCAGAATTCAAGTAAGATGATATTAATATTAAAAGCGTCCTTAGTTGTGGCAAAGTAAGAGGTCATTTGGACCTTAGGGGAGTGGGGCATTAGCGGAGAACTGCACTTTACTGAGGTGTGCTGTGGAGGTCTGGGAGACGGCACATGGATCATGCTTTCAAGAAACGTGGCTAAGAGGAGGACTATAGAGCAGTAACCACAAGGAGGAAAGCAGAGTAAAAGCTGAAGAGTACATTTGTCTAACTGATCTAGAGAGAAGACCATGGACTGGAGTCTTCCAGAAACAATATACTATAGAACAGAGCTGTCTAGACACCCTTAGACTTCAACCCTGTCAATCAACACTTTATCCATATTTCCTACTCCTGCTGAACGAGCTACAGTCAGAGTAGGAGGGTATGGGATGTCCCAAATTGGTTTGTGGAGGTGAATCAGGTGTATCCCAATGATGGTGGAAGTGTGGCTTCCCTCTTTGATTAGGTCAGCAACCAAGCTTTAGATAGAATCCTGAGGAAAACGGTGTTAAGCACAGACCCAATTAATCAGAATTTAATAGGTCCTGATAGTAGTTTTCTCTCTTGTAAAAGAAAATAATATAATTTTGAAAAAAGCTTAATGACAGTCATTTCCATTGAAGAGCAGTTTAGATTGTTTATTCTTTTATTTGTTGCAGAACTCACATATAAAACAAGTACAATGACGTTTGACAGTTTGCTGAGTTTGTCATTACTTCATAATGCCATAATAACAAAATATTATGTATTTTAAAAAGCAGATTTTGTTTTTAAGAAATCTGTGGTCTGGCAATGGAAGCCTCTTGTCTTTTTTAAAAAAATTTTTGGTTTTGGTCTATTTTTCTGTTTTCTAGAACCTTCAAGAAAATGTGGGTAAAAGAAAAGAAAGAGGTGAAAGTAGCCTGATTTCAGTACTGTTAAAAAATTTAGGAAAAAAGATTGGAATTATTAGAAAACATTGAATTATTTCACTAATTTTGTTTTTATTCTGTTCTATAATCCTTATTATTGAGTACTAGCCATTAACAATATTTTAAGAACTTGGAAGAAAAAAATAATTATTTCACTAATTTTGTTTTTATTCTGTTCTATAATCCTTATTATTGAGTATTAGCCATTAACAATATTTTAAGAACTTGGAAGAAAAAAATATCACATTACCTAAGTTTTAGATTATTCCGTGTTTTACATTAACATCTGCTTCTTAGAGTGTTTCAGAGTACTGATATCCTTTTATAATATCTTCTCATTATTTCTTTCTAGACTTTGATTAATTACTATTGTAAAGAGAGATATTTCCATCACATGTTACTTGTTGCCAGTGAAGGAATTAAGCGGTATGGCAGTGACCCAGTCTTCAGGTTTTTTCATGCCTATGGTATATTAATGGAAGGTATGTGCTAGTTATTAAACATATTCCATCAGTTTTAAATTCTTGCTTTGCACTATGAACAATTTTTCATATCATAATCTTGATTTTCAGGTAAAGTTCAAGAAGCTCTTCGAGAATTTGAGGCTCTTAAAAATAAACAAGATGTATCCCTTTGTTCTCTACTTGCACTGATCTACGCCCATAAAATGAGTCCTAATCCAGGTATAGTATTTAAGTATAATGCTTAGGACAATTTTTCCTATTCAGTTCAATTTTATTTTTCGCAATTAAAACATTCAGTCTGATCGTACTGTAATATATATATAGGTGCTATTTATATCATGTTTTATCTTCCTGAGAAGAATATAAATTCATCAAGCATAAGAAACATGTCTATACTACTTTCATATTCCTTATATCCTATGGCAGAGGTTTTATTAGTACATAGCAATTGTTTGAGTTAACTTAAAGGTGAACATATATTTACCAATTGTTATGAAAAAACAGTGCTGTATATACATAAATAGCTCTGCAGCAGTCAACTTTACAACTTGTTATGTGCAAACATATAGCTATATGCAGTTTATTTCTTCTATATATTAAGTTCCTTGAAGGCTTTTATGCCTTGCGTGGGGACTGGCTCTTGGAAGATATTCAGTAAATTTTTATTTAGTGGTAGGTTGGGAAATGTGATTAGGTTATAGAAGGAATCTTATAAACCAGCAGTTAAAGTTGCGTGAACTATCTTAGTGTGTAGTTAACTTAATGGCTAAGACCAAAAGAATATCAAAATTACAGGTAATAAAGAGGAAATAACATTATATTCTTTCATGTATATTCAATAACAGCTAATAGGATTATACATATAGATTCTGTTACAAATAATTAGACAATAATCAAATGTCATAGAATGGTTTCTTAAATATTAGAAAACATTTTTTTCTTAATCAAAGTATCACATGCCTCCTTCACTCCATGTACACATATACAAATCAATAGTACAGAAACACATTTAACAGTTATGTGCTTACTTTTTGCAAGGAACTGTGCCAAATACAGTTAGCAGATATGAAAGAATTGTCATAAGTGATCCATGGCATCAGGTTTATAATCTAGTTGAGAAAACAAAATGTAAACACCACAAAGATTAAATTCCACTGTTACTATAAATGATAAAAGATGAAACAAGTCCATAATTAATTGAAATTTATATATACTATTAATCCACAGGAGTGGGCTGGGAAAGCTTTGTGAAAGGTTAGAAAATCTGATTTTTGAAGGACAGGTAGAATTTGAATATGAACAGTATTGGCCAGATAGGAGAAACAGATGGGCAAATACATGGAAGTGGTTCAGGATTAGGCTCTTCTGTTGATCTCCTTTCTATATGCTCCAGTGGGAATACTGTTTACCTAGAGCACAGAATTTACATAAGAGAGCTGTAGTCAGTTAAGTCTAAATAAAAGAAATTAGTACAAAATATTTTCTTTCTGTAATCAAGTTTTCATTTAATTGATTATTCCCAGCATTATTGGTTCTGTTGGGAAATGTGATTTCCAGCACACTGAAAAGGTATAGACAGAAACATTGTTTAGAGATACCTGAACTCTGACTCTGCTTTCTGCCATGGATGATGCTGAATGGACTTAAGCTCTAGTAGGGGCCCAGATGTCTGTAAATATTGCCAAGGAAAGGCCAAGATTGTAGTGTACATTTTTCCTGAATGCTCCTGTAAGCCGTGATTATAAAAAGACTTAGGCTCACCACATGTACTCACCATCAAACTGGTATTAACTGATCAACACATAA